AAAAGAAATTCTCTACAAAGATTTTTTTTTCAGTATTTTTGGCATATCCCATTCACCCCTCTTTTCTGTATCAGTGACAAAGAAACGACATCTCGGGCACTCCCAGAGCCATCCAGAAAAATCCTCTCCTAGATCAGCTCATTCCTGGGAGAACAGGAACGCTGAGCCCTGCACTGGAGGCTGAGCAGAGATGACAGCCACACGCCACTTGGCAGGAGCCAGGGGGTTGTTTGTTGCTTTTTCACTCTCCCAATCCTAATGAATTATAAAACAGAGCCTAAATTAACAGTCAGGAGGACTTTGTCAGGGCCTTACACTTCGGAGAGGCTCATCTGGGAGGATCCCTTTCAACTGTTTGACTTGATCAAAGGTTCTCGCTTTTCGATTGACTTCTGTACAATCCTCACACTCCAGAGGCTCCCAAAACAAGAGCCAGGCTCCTTCCCAGGGAAAATTTGAATCCCAGCGAGGTGTCAGTCTCTGCTTAAAGGCCAGCTGCTTGGAAAGCAGGAATTTTTGAATTTTAATACATTCATACAATGATGAATGGTGGGACCGGAAATCTGTGCTCTTCAGCAACTTGGTACCAACTAAACTGAGATCTGAAAAGTCTTAATCTGCCACAGAATGCACACATTTGATGTTTAATGACAGCAGAACAATGAGACAAGCCTGTTACCTCTGCTGGGGGTAGGAGGGATGAAATGGTGTTACCCCAAATTCTGTAAAAAGATAAAACACACAGAGCTTTCTTATTTTTAAGTGAGAGCTGTACTCAAGAAGTCCAGCATTCCCTGGTTTTATGAGCCACTGGATTCACCCAAAGATGGTGCTGAATTTCATGAATAAGAAATCTTCTAATTTATCTTCTTAGTCCAAAACMTCTCTTTGGCAGGCTGAGTCCTGCATTCCCACAAGGCTGCCCGAATAAAGCTCAGTGTGTGCACACAGCTCAGGCTCAGAAGAGAAAAATATTGTAGGTCAGAGAGGTAACTCTCACTCTCAGTGTCTTTACATAAAGCAACATTTCCCAGAGCCAGCTGAAAACAGGGAATAGATACAAATCAGAGCAAAGAAACAATCCCAACTGAAGGATCTTCTGCTGCCAACTGCTTGAATTTGAAAGGGTAAATTAACACATCATCCCTACCTCACAAAACTCAGAAATCTGACATTGGGACCTTGTGGTTCAGCTTTTCCTCAAATCAAGAGGGTGGTGGGGATGTAGTGAGCTTTGCAAAATTCTTGGGGAGGGATCTGAGTCACAGAATCATAAAATAATTGAGGATGGAAAAGATCTACAAGGTCATCAAGTCCAACCTGTGACCGATCCCCACTTTGTCACCAGCCCAGAGCACTGAGTGCCACCTCCAGTCATTCCTTGGACATCTCCAGGGATGGGAACTCCAGACCTCCCTGGACAGCCCCTTCCAGTTCCTGACAGCCCTTTCCATGAAGAAATTCCTCATGGTGTCCAACCTCACCTTCCCCTGGTGCAGCATTAAGAAATCATAAAAACACAGGTAAAATAACCTAGGGCATGTGAAGCCTTCTGAGAACAATTCCATCTCCTCCAGGGGTGAAAAGATGCTCTCACTTTTGGCAAATTATTATAGAAGAATCACATGGAAATTTCTTGATCCACGCTCAGATGAAGATTTAGGAATATTTACACCAAGCACTGAAGTGCCACACAATGCCTGAGACGGCTGTGAAGGACCCCACGGTGTCACACGAGGCAGGAGCTCATTCCCGGAGAAAATTCAGCCACATTAGCGTGGCCTCGTGCCTGGGCTAATGAGGTGACACTTCCCAGCTGCCAGAAATCCAGGAAGGAATCACACATCTGCCACATGCAGCATTCTTCAGAAAGCACCGACTGGAACTGCGCTGAGCCTCAGTTGTGTGAGAATATCAACACATAACATCATCATTTTCCTTTGGTTTAGAGCCAGAAGGAATCATAAAATCAGCTGATGAGTTTATCTGATCTGTTATCACAGCTACCACACTTCATCCACATCTCAGGATGTGCAGGAAAGGAACTTCAGTCACCCCAAAGCCCTCAAGTCCTTCAGGCTCTTCCCTGCTCTCTGTGGGTCACAGCTGAGCCCAAACACTGCCAAAGGCTGCAGCCACAGCAAGTGACTGATGAGGCTGGTGTTGCCCAAATTATTTCAGCAGAAATCCATTTCTCATACCTAGAAACTGAAGAATGACAAATTCCTGCCCAGCAGTTCCCAGCTCTGGCAATCAGGATGAATCCAAATAAATGATTAAGACAGGTAGACAGATTGTCCTGATGTACTAAAACAACCAGTCCATAGGAATCACAGAATCCCAGACTGGTTTGGGTGGGAAGAGATCTTGAAACCATCCCATCTCACCCTTGCCATGGCAGGGACACCTTCCACTATCCCAGGCTGCTTCAAGCCCCATCAAATCTGACCTTGGATATTTCCAGGGGCAACCACAGCTTCTCTGGGCACCCTGTGCTAGGGCCATCCCACCCTCAAATGGAGGAATTCCTTCCTCATATCCCATCTAAACCTACTCCCTTTCAGTTTGAAGCCATTCCCCCTTCTCCTGTCACTCCAGGCTCTTGTAAAAATTCTCTTTCCACCTTATCTGTAGGCTCCCTGTAGGGCATTGGAAGGCCTCAGCGATTTTACCCCAAAGTTTCTCTTCTCCAGGCTGAAAAAGAAGCCACYTCTGGTGCTGGCCCAATTTCWGGCTAAAAAATCMAAWAACTKGTAGRRCAAGGTAAAAAATAAAGGAGTTTTYATAAACTCTACAAGCAAACCAGGAAGGCACAGGAGTGTGGTTTGAGGAGGGTGATTGTCCTAGAATCAGACAATCCTGAAAAGGTTTGGAAGARACCTTAAAGATCACCTCATTCCACCCCCCTGCCACAGGAGATGCTCTGCCTCAGTGCTCCAAGTGTTCCAGGGATGGTGCAGATGAATTATCCTGAACACAGCTCTGAGGGAGGGGAGAGGGAGGCTCATAAATCAGCAGCGTGGGCCACTGCACTCGACAGATTCACAGGATTCCTTCTCCTGGCTGGAATCAAGCRCCTCTTTTAAAATGATAGATTATCCCATCTCAGAGACTCCAAAGGATGGTGATGGRAAAAGGTTTAATTACACTGAGAGACGTGGAGCTGTTTCATTAAATATGGAACTTTCCAAAATTCAGCTTCCAGCTACTGCAGCTCATTCTGGTTTATCAGGGTTGGGCTGTCAATTTGTCACCAGGTCCCTGCAAGGATGATCTGGTCACGGCATCCATGGAATCACAGAATTCCCAGAGCTGGGTGGGACCATGGATCAAACTCCTGGCCCTGCACAGACACCCCAAAAATCCCATCCTGTGCATCCTTGGGAGCGCTGTCCAAACCTTCCTGGAGCTCTGGGAATGTCACCATTCCCTGGGGAGCTGTTCAGTGTCCCAGCACCCTCTGGAGAAAGAACCTTTCACTGACGTCCACCCTAAATCCCCCCAATATGGGGTTATTTCTCTCTCTAACATGTCTATTCCCAGCACTGGGGCAGTTTTCCGGGCTCTTTATCCTTTTTTTTTACCCTCTTCAAATCCCCAGCAATATTTCCACATGATCCCTGGGATGGAACACAGGAACTGCACAAAATGTTCTGATTTCCTGGCCCTGCAGACAGAAAACTCCTGACTGAAGCCCTTTTCACGCAGGCAGAAGTTGCAACAACCACTTTGGGCTCTCTGGAAGACACTTATCCACAATAGTCCCTGGATCCCTCTTTGAGTTTCTCTTTCCTGGGACTCCATCAYATTTTGGAGGTATCATCTGCAATTTTTTTGTTCCCAGATGCAGTAACAAGTGGCATAATTACGATGGCTGTTCAAATATTGAAATGAGTTACTCGTGCGCAGCGTTTCTGGGAAATGGGAGAAGGGATGAGGTTTGCTGGGACTCTATAAACATGCAAAATGTTTTCTGCATGCAGTTTCCCATTTCTGTTCGCACAGATGTGGGTGGTGTCAGCACAAAAGCTATGCCAAAAAGGATAAATTCAATCCAAAGGTTTGGGTGAGGTTTATAGGTAGAATCATCCCCTTGTGCCTTTGCACAACATCTTTTTGTTCCCTTTTTCTAATCACAGAATATGCTCAGTACCACTGAAAAATAGAAAATCCCAAGTTGTGATGAAA